AGGTACCAGCTAGAATCTGAAAAAAGGTCAAAGCCAATAATTCCGTAACTCACAAAGAAGTTGGAGGCTCTAACTTTCCAGATAGGGGAAAAAAAAAAGTGCTCATTTGAAATGCTGTTATTGCTCTTCCCAGGAATGATAACTGATGTCTGACAGCACAATACATTCCAAGGAAAGGACAACTGGTTAAAGGTGCAACATGCACAGATTGAGAAGACAGAGGAAAAGGTCTTCAGACCTACAGTTTGCTTATGGAGGATCCAACATCAATTTACAAAAGGTTTTAATTCTCTAAGCATTAGGATGCAATGATGTTAAACATTACATAACACTAGGCCATTACTCAGCCACAAAAATATGCAAGTTTAATAAATTTCTACTAGATTTTCCTGTAATCGCTTTAAAAATAAGTCTGAGTTAATCAACAGCATTCTTTCTCTGTACGCATTAAAATGCTTCCATTGTCTATATTAAAACTGCTGGAGTTTCCCTTCCACTACCTACAAACTTCATGAAAATAATACAAAATTATAGTGGTTGCTTTTTGTTTCTGAATTTGAGAGACATCATGTGGCCATTACAGTCATTACAACTCTATCTCCTTAACTTATGACCATCAGCATGAGATTCCTTCAAAAACAACCCTCACCCCCGAAAGCACAGAACGTGTAACTGCAGCACTTTTCACTTCCAGGATTTCCAATACTAGCAAAATACAAGGACAGCTTAACGCTGAAGCTTCAGCGTTCTCTCTAGAAATATCACATGCATTTTCATATGTATTTTGCCCATTCTAGCATCACAGGATTGGTACAATTTTAATTTAGGCAGTTTCATTTTTTATCCCTGTTTTCAAATGACTGTAACTTTCTAAGCAGATTAATTATTGGGCTGGTATGTTTCCATGTTTATTCCTTACATTGCGGGAACTATTTTGGAAGTAGCTGGCTAAAATGCCGTTTGGCCAGTTTCAAATGAGGAAAACAAACAAAATAAATAACTCCCTTTCCATCATCTTATAGTTCCAAGAATACTTGAGCTTTGCACCACTGTTTCATTGTTCAAAAGTTCAAGCTTAACAAGGACAGAGTGCTTAGTAAGAAGCATCTCTTACTAAAAGTAGAAAAATACAGGTTTAGTGTCAAATGACTGAAAATAGAATAATGTTCATATAGGTGATAGCATTTTCCTTAATGACTTTGTTCACACTGCATTTCCATGTATTTAAGTGCACAGCTAGGGTATTTTAATCAGATACTTGAATATTTGATTACTTGGAGAACAAATGTATGAACCTATTACATTCAATGTAATTTTGAAGTAATACAATAAACCTTTAACTATATGATTATGTCAGTGTTCGTGTTGTGAATTTCAATACATAGAGACATTAAAGGACTATGATTGAGCACTGAAATAACCCAAAGCCAGAAAATTCAATGCTTTTGTTTCTACAGCAACCATAACTAGACCACTTTGCACGAACAGTATATGCACCTGCCTTAACAGAATATACAGTGAAAAACACTCCATCAATGCAAGAGTTAGTTGCTATGGGAACAGCAACAATTGTGTTAAATTTTCATTTGGAATGTTTAACGTTTCGCATTAAAGCATCCTACCTGATGAACCATTACTATTAGTGTGTGCAAATAACATTTATCCAGAACTGTTAATGCAGTAATTTTTTTCACCAGTGTCAAGAGCCTGAAGGCCACCAGGTAGCACTGTAAATGGACACAAGTCAACTATGTGGGACATGGTTTGAACTTGTGCACAAGGACATTTGTTGCCATTGCGAAGGCCCTACTGCTATACATTTGAGGCAGTGACACTGTCCAGTTAAAAAAAATAAAAAAAAATAAGAAAAAAAATGGTTGAGAAGTGTCCAATAACAATGTGGCTGGTTAAATCGTGGTTGACTGACTACAGGGTCAGAGATGACGTGGTGATTAGTGCTTGTGTTGACCATTTTTTGTGCAATCCAGTAAGGAAAAGTCAAAGGATTTTGAGAGGGTGGACCATATTGGGTGTCTTGAGCAGAGCTGAGCTAGAGGTGGGTGGAATATGTTTCAGTACACTCGCAGTGTAGGATTATCATGGAGTCTGGCTAGTAAATTTGCTTCAGCATTTGTGTGGAGGAGATGAGGGGGAGCAATGTTACTGAGGACTGGTACTCATTGGGAGTGGAGTGGGGTGCAGTGCAGTGCGTCTGACAAGATGCACTGTAGCATGCAGTTGGGTGTCCACTAATTTGGTTGGGATGAGCAAGTCCATACAGGGGCACAGTATTCTGCAACTGAATAACACAGTGCAAGAGCAGATGACTGAAGCGTGGAGGCATTGGCACCTCAAGCAGAGTCTGAGAGTTTGGGAAGTAGGTTATTCCTTGTTTTAATTTTTAAAGCAATTTTCTGGAAATGTGATTTATAAAAGTTAAAGTCAGGGCAAGAGTGACCCCAAGATAAACTGGGTGGGTTTTGAATTTGAGAGGCTGACTGTTTACTGACCATTTATGCAATAGTTACTGACTAATTTCATATAGATTGTTACAGGGATCTGCATTGGTAATGTCTACAGCTCGTTTGCTCTCAGTCACTGCTGGGGTGAAGTCTACTGTGTCCAGAAAAGTTTACATTATTTAGTTTTCAGTCAAATTTCACAGACAACTTAAGTGCTGCTAGGGAATCTTAATTATTCTTAAGTGGCATTGCTTTCTTTAGTGTCTTGAGCATCAGGATTGCATGTACATTTGCTAGGTGTCAATGTTTAGGAACAGAAAAAGAAAAAAAGAAAGAATGAGACAGGAACCAGTAGGATAGGCCTTGGAGATCTGAATTTGAAACAAAATATTTGAGAGTGAAAATTCTAGCAAAGCAAATCCACTTCCTTTAGTGCAGGATTTGCAAAACATTTTATTATACAACCAAGAAATGGCAGTCGGGCACAGCTGGTCTGCAGACCACTGTAAAGACCCACTCATCCAGGAGCTTTGAAATATGCCAGGTTACTATACTACTTCAAAAGAAATTTTGTTTTTGCCCTGGTCCAAGCAAGGTTCTTTACCATCTCTCAAATTTTTACCATGCAAATTTAAGCACCAAAATCCACGGGACTAGTCTCTCATAAATTGACTACAGCTACATTCTTTCCCCTACCTGTCTCACCTATTGGGTACCTCCATTTACATTTTAACTGACTGGTTTTCTTGCATACGTACTAGCCTCAGGCTGCTTTACTACGCCATCCAGGAAGAGCATTAGACCAACTGCAGATGCTTCCTCTGCCTGATGAAGGGTACCTTGTACCTAAAAAGCTTGTAAAGAAGAATTTTTCCAACTATTTGATTTGGTCTTATAAAAGATATTGGATTTACCCAAAGAACCTTGTCTGCCTTTGTCCTTAGACCAACATGGCTGCAACCTGCACCCCTGAAGTCAAGTCAGGAATTCCAGCTCTTGGCTGGATCAGGCCATAGAATCATGTGGCGAAGTGACTGGACTAGGATACAGGACAGCCTGTAGCCGACTGTGATGGGAATGTACAACTTGTCTGTAATTTTAGGGAACTATTTGATCTACACCTCCATTTTAGAGACAGATAATAGGAGAATTGTTCTTTATTCTGACCTTTGCCTGTTTAGATTGGAGAAGAGGCAACACCCCCCCCCAATCTTACATTTAGATTGGAGAAGAGGCAACACCCCCCCCAATCTTATAATCAGCACAGATGGGCAGGGCCGCTGCAAAACGCCTGCAAAATCAGCTCTGCATGCTGTGAGTGAACATTTTTCATGGAACCAAAACCCTCTCACCACGATTTAGGTAGGTCTCTCCCTCTCCCTATATATATAGCCAAAGTTAAGAAGATAACTCCAGAGTCTGTTCTTGACCTCTGCCCCCACCACCACCCTATGTGGTCTGTTTCTCTAGGGGTTAACTTCCTTAAAAAAAATTGAAGACCCTCTCTGAAAAAAAGACCTGTGTAACATGCTTAGTTACATCTGGAGGAACAGCCAGTGCAGCCCCAAATTACTTACCTCTCTCTTTCACAACATGGTACAAATTCTTAAGACCTTGCTGGCTGGACAAATGAAACCTCCTTTCTCAAATCTAATCCTGTCACAGTCCTCCATGCCTTCGGGGTCTCTTCCCTTTTTCAAGGAATTGTGAAGTTTAGCTGACAGAAAAGCCTGGTGGAGATGCTCTGTTCTCACTTGCTGTTAAGTTTTTAATATTCTCTCTCCAACATTTGTATTGAATAAATTACTTTGAAGAAAAAATTCCAAAGCAAAGTCCTTAAAATATACTAAAACAGCCTCCAAAATACATCTCCCAGCCCCTGCCAACTGGAGGCAAGTGGCTCAATTCCAAAATCAGACTTAGGAGTGACTTGGATAGCAAGTAATGCACGGCTTTAGACAAGACCCACCTAAAATGTAAGAGAAGTCACTAAACTCCAGGACTCAAATCATGTTGTCACAGAACCACTTACTGGCTGCTGGATGCATACCTCATGAGATGCCCAGGCCTGCCATTATGAATCGTAACACGCTGACCACTGACTCTTCAAAGAAACAAGGGTTGTTTTTTTTTTTAAATGATCTAAGTAAATAACTTGATCTTGATTGTGCAAACTCGAAGCCACACAAGCCCCATAGCCCACACAGAACCCCTCAAAGTATGCGTAATTCAGACCTGTATTCTTGAATTAAGCCTTTCTTAGTACAATCTTTGACTGAACTATATTTTGCGATACTTTCAGTGAACTAAAGAATCATAATGCTTCTGAACTATAGGATTGGGAATGAAAGTATATCTCTTCTTTATGATCAATAAATAAGACATTTTGCAACTGAATTTTACATGGTATGTGGGAAGAACGTTGTTAGGAATCTCCTTCTAATGGTAATAAAAAGATCATATGTTGTATTTTAATTCCTCAAATACAGATTAATTCTTAAAGGATCTTTGACTATAGTCTGAGAAGAATAAGTACAAACTTTAAAAAAATATTTAAACTTAAGATACCAGTGCACTTTTTAGAAACACGTATATACTTAACAGGTAAAATAGGAATAAAGTATTGCAGAAGACATTTAATATGAAACCTTTTGGAACGTCCATTGAATACAGATTTACATCAGTAAATGTTATAAATTAGAACAGTGTTTAAAGTGATGACAACAAAGTGCACTCACTCCTGTGTGGAAAACCCCACATCTTATATAGTGACTAATGTAGGAAGGAAGAGGGTAGGTGAATACCCACCTGAGAACTACAACTGCCCTGAAATGTCTTATTGCTATTACAAAATGGAGTTTCCATGGAAAAATCCTACTGAGCAGCATAAGCATGGATACAGCACTGACAGCCAATCACGCTCCAACTTCACTTTAAGCTCTAAAGACATTTCATGGTGCATAATATACATAGAATAAAAAAAAAGTTTGATTTCAGGAATAATTTACTACATTAACAATCATGATTATTCTTTATCATAATAACAATGCTTACGGAAGAGAAAGAGGGGAAGCCTGCTGCCTTTACAGAGTATGGACCACAATATGTAAAGCAAAATATTAAGGATTCTGCGTTTTGAGCTTGGATCAAACCTAAATCGTGTACACTAAAATGAACATCATAGTAAGTACATCTTTGGTGCTTCACTTGGAATGCAACCAGAAGCCGTAATTTATACACATTAAGTAGATAAAGCAGGGCATTGCCCACACAGTTCCCTAAAGAAAAAAAAAATCAACTGAGTTTCATGAAAAGAAAAAAAATAAACCCCAGGAGGTAGACTGGATGGGTGAGGGGCATCTCTTGCTTCCAAGTCACAGACCAAATGCAGCCCAGGGCAGTAACGACAGAATGGAACCATCAGATGGCAGTTTTGTGGCCTACAGGAAATGATTTGGCCAGAGGTCATATACAGTAAGTTTCTACTCTGGGTGCTTAACAAAAAAAAGTCCCACAACTGTCTTCCTTCCTCCCTCCTCTTCAGTAATTTTAGCACAGGCCTAAGATCAGTCGCACTCCATGCCAGTTCTATCTTCTCAGTGACAGAAGCAACACGTCCACAAATAGGTTGAAGCACATTGGAAAGGAGTCGGCAGGGAAAGCCTGAACGGGCACTACCTGTGCTGTCCACTGTCATTGGTGCAGTTAATCAGGCATGTTATTATTAAATTATGGCAAATGATCAGTAGTTATTAGATTTCCACTTCTGGACTTCTAACAGAGTGAATGCTCAGAACCCAAAAGGAAAAGACCATCACTTGTGCAGGTGTAAAGAACACTAGCATTCAAGACCTGTGGCAATTCTCACCAGAACACTGTCATTTATGGAGTCCCTTTGTCCTTCTAATGAAACTGGGCTACACTGTACTGCAGGCACTTGGTCTGAAGTTTCCACTAGCTGATTTTCAGCAAGTCTCATTTAACTCATTTATCTCGAGACAAGACATTAAAAGTTAAGTTCCACTAAGCTGTATTATTTACATTCTGTAGGACAATGGTAGAAATTAAGTAACTGAGTGTTCTGAACAGTAATCCACAGTAATAAGCCAGAAAGAACAGAAGAAGATTAATCTTTAGTCATTTAGCATGAACAGAAAAATGGAAACATTTACCCAGGATATAATACACAAATCAACTACAGTTTTTAATTTGCTTCAGGCTTAAATAATAAATAGGTGGGCAAAATATAATGCAAGACTTACTGAATAAAAGTGAATTTTTAATTCTTATGAGATCTACTTAAAAAACCCAGGAATAATGTTCACAACCGTAAATCCAAACCCTTCACACTTTTCTTCTTAACACAGCAGTGAACTGTAAACCTGCATTTTACTGGTTAACTATTCAATGGTTTTAAATATTAACTCAAGTGTTTCCTCCTTGGCCATTTCAATTTTTAGCACCAAAATTAGCCCCAGAAGAGGTACTGGTACAGCTCAGATGTTGTAGACGAATTGTTTACATATAATACTTTATATATTATACATACATACTGTACATTCACACATCCACACAAACAGGAGGCATATTTAAATGGGTATATTGTGTTTTTCAGTTTGTCATCAAAGACAGAGCAATGGAAATAAAGCAGAAGGGGTAATATTTTACATAGTAGGCAACTTTAATGCTGTAGTGCACTTATAAAAAAAAAAGTCCAACTCTCCCTCCCAGCTCAGCAGCTTGTTTCAATTTTTTTTAATATCATGATTCAGAAGATGCAGAAGTTATTGCCTAAATGTTATTCTATACATTTCCATCGGTGTTCTCAAAAAAACTTGCAATTGATACTCAATTTACAACTTAATTCTTTTTCTTATTACAGCTTTAATTCATTGGCAATTTTGGAAGCAATGTTTTTAAAAGCTATGGATGTTCCCGATATTCGCTTAAAGCGAACTCCATTCAGTGACAGTCTTGGCAGTTTGCACACCTCCATCTCCCATTGTACAAGGTTTTCTGCGTGCCCATCTCCATGGACACAGAAAAGCAAGAAACGCTCTCTTTGTTCATAGTCACAGTTATTGGCATCCAAGACCTTCCGAATCTCCCTCATCATGTCATTAGGATCCATAGAACTGGTGGTTTTCATGCTCCAAGTAAACCGCAGGGAACGGGGCTTAGCTTCCTTGTTTTCATCCTTCTGATCCACAGCTACGTTGCGACTGAAAAATAAAAGATGATTTAATCAGACAGCCAACATCCTCTTTAATCTTGTGCGAATGTAGCAACTGACATATTCAAAGGGCATTTTAGGGGGGGGTTACAGCCTAGAGGCTCCAAGTGTGGGCAGGGCCCCATTGTGCTAGGAACTGTACAAACACACAAGATGACTGTTCCTGCCCTACAACTTACATCCTCAGACAAGGCACAACTAGGTGTAACAAGTGAAAAGAACAGGGATGGGAGGATGAAGCAAATGGATGACTACCTGGCTGAAGAAAAGTTTCCACTTCAATGCAATGAACCTTGCCCCATGTGCTGGCCTATATTTTTGGGCCATGAGGGCTGTGGTGCATGGCACTAGGAATGCTCTAGGAATTTCTGGAACATTAATAAGGTAGCAGTTGTATGTTACAAGTTTAGGTTTAAATGAAGGCCAAAGGAACCTTAACAGCAGCTGCTTATTGACAGAAACTGTTGGAAAGCTGGAGCAGTAGAATCCTTTGGGATCTCTTTTCTCTACTGCAATCCTCAGACCCTGCATTGCAGCAGTCTTCTTTCCAGAGGCTGTAAACACTGGGACACTGAACTAACAAAATGAAGGGTACTAGAGGGTGATTCAATGCACCACCCCTCTTTTGGGACTGAATATGCTACACCAATGTAGTGCTATGATATCTAACAGTTTAAAGACTGTTTAAACATTTTAGACAGCCAAACTTCTTATGTAGTCCTCCTCCTCCAAACACCTGAAGTAGAGCTCTTTTCCTAGGACCATAAATATGCAAGCCAAAAGGCAGTATTACTCTCAAACAAATCTTGTAGTATTTTGGTCCATGTCATGGATTGCTCCAGATGAAGCAAGTAAGATATTTTGCAGCTGCAAGTTACATAACTTCTGAAGTGCCCTTTTCAGACTAAAGTACAGGAAAGTAAGATTTCAGTGATGCAGTAACAACAACAAAAAAATCTCATTGTCATAAGGCTAGAAGGTATAACAGGAAAGGTCACGTTTACTATCAGAATTGATAGTATGAAGCACACAGTCATAGGTCCAAAGGTTGGAAGATTCTCTACCCTCAATAGGGGCAAAAAAGGGGGAAGTGGAAAGGAAAAAAGTTCCAGAAATTTCTAGTTTCACATTCTTTTTCTACTTCAGCTAGGGTCCACATAGCTAAAGAATTGGAACAAATGCACTAAAGCCATTACAGAAAAGTAATTGATAACGTTCAGCTAGATGCATTAGATCTGCTTCTGGATAGACACCTCTCTAAAGATTTTTTTTGCTCCAAAATTATAACAGGGACAAAAGAATTCAAGCAACTATACCAACCATCACAATTAACACCCCCCCCCAACTGTGAAATTCCCTAGCTTAATTCAATTCAAAGCCAGTGGCATGTTCAATTTCATAATTAAAAATATTTAAATGAATACTAAATACCAAATCAAGTCATTCTTACAGGCAGTTGTAGATTAATTTATATTTACAAGAACTAGTGTCTGCTCTTGTGTTGGTAGACAATTGTGAAACAATGTGGAAGCACAATTAGGAAGTTAAGCCAATGTATCATAACAGAAGATGACCTACATCACAATTCCATGTGCTATCAGACAAAACTTGTTCAGGACAAACCCTTAGGTTGACTGGGATAGTTTTAAACTATGCCCTTTAGTCAAGTGGCATCAATAACTAGTTTCTCAGCTTGCTGGAAGTGCATAAAAAAAATTCAGTAAATGAAGTAGAAATTTCTTTTTTTAAAAAAAAATTTCAAATAAAAATGGAGATACATTTTAGTCAAAACAGTTCAATAACTTTTTAAATGTTTTAAAGTTTTATTTTTCTGGTAAAAGCAATTTGGCAAATTTGACAGGAATTCACAGGCTATTTTTGGAGACCCTGACTGCGTTTTTCTTTTTTGGATTAAGAACAAGTTTCAGATTAAAGACACTTAACCCTGTTTCTCTCACAATCTCCAGAAGGGTGAAATATCAGTTTAGCACCCTCCAATGGTTGGCTGTAGAGCACCTTTGCAGTCTCCCTAGAGGCTGCTGTCTGGCCAGATGCAAGATAAAACAATTACAGCTACTAAAATGCAAATAAATGTACAGGGAAAAAATAACATGAAAAATGGTTAGAGCCAAGCCAATCAATGCTTTAATAGCTGCTCTGCAGATAGGGAAACATCATTCTGGTTTATAGTTTCACAGAAATCAGCTAAAAGCCTACTGCTTGGAGCCAGACTGCCACATAATTAAGGGAAAAAAGGTTCAAACTCACCTAAGTAACATTTTAAACAAAAATCATTAACCCTCACCTTGAGCCCTCATATCTCCCGTTCCTCTCATATTCAGTTGGGAGCCTCATTGAAAAGAATGCAGAAGCAAAAGGAAGTGGGAAAGAGAAGACAAATCTTACACTAGCATATACATTTTCTGAACAGCTGCTAAAAGTGATCGGAAATTCTACCATACTTACATACTGTATCATACTAAGCAACAGTAAATGTAATGGGTTTTCTAGATCACAACAATTATAGAATACATTTTGCCCAACCAAATCAAAATGCATTTGGTAGCTTCAAAGTTTATAGAAACTAGGAATTTTTTATTTTTAAACTGAAGACTATATCGATACTTAAATACTCATAAAAAGCTAATACTGAAGTGGGGGCAATGCTGTACTACAGATACAAAATGTTCATTTTAGTTCAGACAACAATGTGCTGGGAGGAAAAGTATATTTGGAAAAAAACCCTATTTAAAACATAATTATAGCAGCAAGCAGAAGTACAGTTCTTAAATAATATATAGATCATAGATGGAAAGTGTAATTAAGACACAATGTTACAGATAAACATTACACTTAAAAACCCTCCAGGCAAACAGAATCAAGAGGAAAAGATCTCCCACGGCTAAACCTTGCTACTTCTCTTCTGCTCACTTCACCTTTACCTACACCTACCTACATAACATTATGTATTATACCCCAGGGAACCTGACAACATTCATTCTGCCCCAGGAAGGCCGGTGTCACTATCTCCCCCCATCAGACCACAAAGTAATGACAGTAGATGAGGATTAGCCAGGTAAAACAGGTATGTGAAGAAGGAAGGGTAAGGAGGCCAGAAACAAACTTGCGGCAAGGAAGTACGTTTCTGTAAGCGAGGGAGAAGACAAGGTGACTTGAGTGGCTTAACCTCATTTTCTTGATTCTGCAGGTTCAAATCTGCTGTGGTGTGTATGGGGCAACCCCAACCATTTTACAGGAAAGTGTTTTTGTGCATCAAATATACATCTATAAAAGGTCAGTGAGGTAGAGACTGCAAGTACTACATTTGTATTGTCCTTGTGAATAAGGTGCTTTAATGCTCCTGTGAAGGGCCTGGCATAAGAATCTGAATGAAATAGGGAACCAAATCCTTAACTGCTTCTGTAATACAAATAAAACTAATAAAGCAGTGAGAGATTTAAGCAACATAAAAGTAAAGAGAAGATAAGGCATTACAAGTAGACAAGTATTTTTTTTCACTGTTCAAATGCTTAAAAACTCTAATCAGAAGCCTACTGAACCAGGCACTGTACACTGCACCTGGAAACATGGTTCCTGCTCTGAAAGTTATTATCTGATTAAAGATACAACAAGTCAGTTTAACAAGTAACAGTAGAAGGAGATATGGAAGATAAATGAGAAATCAAAAATGGACAAAGCTTTCAAACTAGAATTAGTATAAATATTTAAATATTAAATGTCACGTCAGGATTTTAGTTACAGTTATATTTTATTATCTAGAAGAGATTGAAAATTTGGCTTCAAGAATTTTCCTGGATTACTAAAAATACTATTCTAGACATTAGTAGCACAGCTCCTGGCTACTGTTTTGGTCAGGATTGTTAGACCCAGACTTCATGCAGCGCCCAAAGATCAGGAAGACGATGATCCAATTGCTCATGGATCCTGTTACTCATTAGCCAGAGCAAGCAGGGAGCAAACACCAGCACACATTGCTTGCAACAGCTTTATTCAGAATGGAGACAGCTTCAGGCCAGGTCCCAAAAAACCAGGGACCTGCACTGAACATTAGTTCTTTTCACATTTTATACACTTTGGTTCATGCTCATTAACATTCATTCCACCCATGTCCCCCCTCAGGTTCCACCCATTTGTCCTCCCATCCCAAGCTCTGCCTCTGTTTACTTCATTAGCATGGAATTGCCTATTCATTTCATTTATTTACATGCCTCTCTGCTAAGAGCGCACGCATAAGACTTTGACCTTCGCTTCTTTTGGTCACTCGATGGTTCTCTCATTTCTTGCTGACTCCATCTCCAAAGTCTTGCTTCTGCTTTATCTCCTGACGATAGCTGGTGGGCTGCATCTTGTTCTTCTTACACAATGGGCTCTAACACTACAACCTTGTTAGAAAACTGCTTGCCTAAGCATTTGCAAGGTTAGTCTTAATATATTATCCTGCCTTGTGACCAGCAGCTTTTGCTGAGACACAGAAAAAAGCCTTTATTCAGCTGCAAATCCAGTGCTCCCTAAGATCTAAACAGTGTCACCCTAACAAGGATAACATTTTAAAATATCTCACGGCTATTTAGAATCATGTTGCCTATGTTTTAATAACATGAAACTTGCAATGCAGTAGGAATCCTTTTTGGTTGCTGCCAACATACACCAGTGAATACAAATATGGCTGCTTGAAGTCAGATAGAGAATATAGTCTTTAGCACTATGTTTTATTACCGATTACATTACATTCGCAACAAATCAATGGATGCAAGTTCAGGCCCTTTAAAAGGAGAATAGTTCTACCGCTCTCTTCATCAACATAGTGAATATTAGCAATAGAACCATTTTAAGCTTTGTCACGTATTATTTCATGCCGATCACCTTTCAGTTAGTGAATTCTGGGAGCTGACAAAGGTAGATTAAAATATGGGTCATTTAGTAGCACTGTCAAGTTGATATGCTTCTCTGCTCTGGAAGGGTAACAGAAGACAGAAAAGGGAAAAGATCTATGAAGTCTGTCGTTGTCCCTGCCATTCTCTGTAGGAATACTGCTGGGGAAGAAAAGATCCATTAGCTATAAGGCTGATCAGATACTGAGGTTTCAAAAACAGCTATCCTCTAAAGCAGAGGTTTCCTACCCCTGGGCCACGGTCCAATACCGGGCCGTGAAGGGTGGGCTGGCTGTCAGACTGGAAGTCCAGAAGCGACTGGCATACAGTACGCTGGTCCGCACGGTCCATGGTTACTTCTGGTCCACGGTCCAAAAAGGTTGGGAACCACTGCTCTAAAGAATCATGTGGAAGGCAAGGCAGATGAAGTCAAGTCTGAAGTTATTTCTTAACTCTCAAACAATACACTTTCAAGTACCTGAAGGATGCCAAGGGTTTTGTTTGCTCCTGAGAAGCACAAGGGAACATCTTTGCTTGCTATCACAAGCATTTACAAATCATTTCAGTCCCACAGTCTCTTTAGTCTCTCTCTAGAAATAGGAGTGCAACTAATTACCCTAACAGTAAAAGATCCAAGAAGTTTCAAGATTGATTTGGTCAAAAAGTTCAGATGCTTTCAGGAAGGTAAAAAACTTACTAGTTTTTTCAGACTTTTTTTAGTTATTGAAACTGAAATTGTGTTAAATCTGGACAATTTCTAAATACTGTCTACTCTACAAATTGAGAGCCTAGACTATCTTAGTAAATAAAACACCTTCCCAAAAATTGGAATTAATAAGTACTATTTTATGCAAGATTTTGTAAGTACTTAATCAGGAACAGAGTTAAAAATTAAAACAAACTAGTTAAAAGAAACCATTTAATGGACTCAAAACTGTGCTTTGTGATGTGTAACTTGACATACTTGGTGTAATTTTCAAAGGAGCAAAATCATTCTTCCTATTGATGCTCCTTCCCTGTGACTGTCAAAGCACAGCCACATTCTGTAAAACAGCACAAGGGCTTACACAACTAAGTAAAACAGAATAACCCTCATGATGCTTCCAATTGAAGTTGCAGCTTATGCTATAAGCCTTCATGTCAGAAAGAGCCTCTAAGCTTCCAAAATGTCAACCAATTCTTAGTTTTATAGTAATACAAACTACAGGTTTATAAGAGCAGACTACTGAGAAGGAACGTATTAAAGAAATTAGCTTAACTGACAAAATCTATTATTCTTGGGGTAAATTACCCAAACTTTCCAGACTTCTTTTAAAGTTCACAATGTGATACAATGCCTATATGATCCAATTTGTGTTCTGTCACATGATATACAGAAGGTATTTATCAGCATATATGATATAATCACCCTAATATTGTTTCCACACATTGGTCATGAATCATCCAATGATACACAGAAAGAAAAGGTGTTAAGGAAGTTCCACAGCCTCAGGAAAGGCTGTAAGCAGTTTCAGGGGCGGGAGATGGGTCATTAGAAACAAACTGAGATTAGTTCATTTGAAGGACAACAACCGGCTTTCCAAGGTTACCTTTAATTCATGAAGGTTCTAGTGTATGGCACCTTTTTGACAGATAAAAAGGGTAAGATATGTTTTCCAGTTATGGAAGTGGTAGCTGCACCTAGACAGCTAAAAACCTAATGCCATACAGCAGGCCTGACTTAGAAGGAGGCAAAGACTCTTCTCTCAGATACCGGTGGGAGTCACAAATATACAACTCAGCAGCTCACAGAATCATAGAAAATTAGGGCTGGGACCTCAGGAGGTCACATCTAGTCCAACCCCCTGCTCAAAGGAAGACCATACCAGCCAAGGTTCATCTAGCGGGGCCTTAAAAACTGCCAAGGATGGAGCTTCCACCACCCGACTGGGTAACCTGTTCCAGGGCTTCACCACCCTCCTAGAGAAATTCTCTCTCAATATCCAACCTAAACCTCCCTTGCTGCAACTTGAGTCCATTGCTCCTTGTTCTGTCATCACTGAGAAAAGTCCAGCTCCATCCTCTTTCAAACCCCACTTCAGAGAGTTAAAAGCTGTTCTCAAATCCCCCCTTGGTTTTCTCTTTTGTGGACTAAGTGAGCCCAGTTCCCTCAGTCGCTCCTCAGAAGTCATGTGCCCCAGTCCTGTAACAATTTTCACTGCCCTCTGCTGGCCTCTCTCCAACTTGTCCACTTCCTTTCTATAGTGGGGGACCCAAAACTAGACACAATCTGTATGCTGTGTTAAGAGTTTTTGCCTTTACTCAGCGTCAAGTGTACAAGAATCTTGACATTTAATTTCTTCTCTGAACCACCTTCCCCTATATGGCAGTCCACTTATATTCCTCCTCTCAATTTGCACCCAACTAAACTTTGAACTTCAGTAACAACCAGCATCATATAACCACCCTAAAACGTGCACATTTGAGAAAGCCCTGATCACTAAGGACATTTACACACTTACATTAGTCTGCTCAGACGCGCCAGAAATCCAGCACATCAGAGCAGACTCAAATAATCGAGTCTGTGGAGCATGTGAACCGACGTGCCTGATGCTGCGTCACATGCATTTGTATAAAACAGTGAAATGCACATCAGTGCAAAAAAAAAATGGTGGGGTGTACTTTTGAACTAAAACACCTTTGATGTGTTTTAGTTCAAAAGCATGCTGCCGCCATTTTCTCAGTGCTGATGCGCATTTTGCTGTTTATATAAATGCATGTGCTGTACTGCATCTATGTGAGAAATGCCCTAAGATGAGTCTTAAAAATAAAGAAACCAGTCCAAGTCCAGTATGTAAGGTATACTTCACAGCCTGCTTTCCTGATTGAATATGAACTTTAGCAGCTAGAATAGAATGAACTTTATATAAAATCTCCCACTGGACTAATTAATAATTCCTTGCAATTTTAAGTCATTGTGACTGAAAAATAAGTGAAACTAATGAGTGCAACCATAAAATGTTGATTTGTATTTTCAAAAGCATGTGCAGACAGAAATCTACCTCGTGCAGCGAGGAAAGTCCGTTGGGCCAAAATATTTTTTTGCTACTTACACATTCTTTCAAAAGTTTACACTTGACTGCATCAGCCCAGCGCAGCAATGTATTGTGGCATAGTTTTTTAAATGAACAGTACTAGACAATATAGCTGGATCAAAAAATGAAGAATCATTTCAATTCTTATTTTGAACCCAAAGTCTTTTCAATGTTTTTATTTTTTATCATCAATGCAACTGCACGGGCTTTACTCTTTAACTACATACTTTATTAGGGTGCTTTATTATTAGGGTTTGTCTTTGTGTTGTACAGTATAAAAAGCAACAATTTGCTTCACGTGCTTGACAAATGCTTCCTTTTTCAAAATACCCAATATGCAGTAGCTCATTTTTCCTGCAAACCTCCAAATCTCAAGCAAGATCTATTTTTGATGATTAAATATCTAAACGTATCAATTAATTCAGTGCATGAAGACACTTCAAAAAATTCTTTAATAAAATTAAATAAAAAGAAAAAACCCCCCAACATATATCACTTACCTTCATATGCCTGTGACCTTAAATTTAATTTACATTTTTCAATGTTACTAAATAGCTCATTCTTCAAAACATAAGCATGCTAAGTGTATTAGTATAAAGAATAAAATTATTTTTGATACTAACAACTCTATCAAAGAAAGAAGAATTCACAAGGCATGCTTAGCATCTTGTTATACAGGTGCCACAGATCCTTAAATGTTGTCGTTAGTTAATGAATTTATTTCTATATTTTCCTTTCAAGGAAGAAAAAGTATTTAGTTCTCAGTGGAAAGTTTAGTTTTTAGAAAACCAAGGCTAGAAAGCCAAATCTGAGGTTAATTGCAGAGCGCCACTTTTTTAAATATAAATAAATCCTACCTTTTGATAAACCTGAATGACATGTTTCTAAAAAGAAATTAAGCCAAAACAATAATTAAAAGAAGTTCTGTACAAAGTAAATTGAAAAGCCCATTTAAAAAGTGAAACATGCAATAATGAGATTTCTTATTTAAATGCCCACAGAAATAATGTTTCAAGTTTATTTTGAGGTTAGAAGAATGGGTTTTATTATGGGCAAATTGCTCTCTCTCTTTTTTTTTTTTTAACTTGGGTATAGTTTTCCTCTGAGAAAAATCTGCCAACTACATACCCTGAATTAAAATGTAACTATTGAAAAAAAACACTTTCAACAACCTAACACTGTATGTGCTGATGAAGGGATGCTTTGGATTTATTCTCCTGTTTGAAATGCATAAACTCCATTATTGCAAAATTAGTAACAGTTAACAGTAGTTTACAGCCCCCGAACTAACTAATTTCTTCATAAACAATTTAGCCAGTTGGTGCCAAGAACTGGGTTAAAGATGCATTAATATTTAATGGAAAAACTTGGAGAATTGCCTTCTCCAGAACATAAGTAATTTATGGATGTAAAAGGAGTACTCCCTATAAAAGAACTGAAGTCAAATATCACGTAAGAAAAAAAGAAACTTGTGTATCAAGTGCTTGGGACAGGAGCTGTCCACCTTCCTATGAGTCTGTACAGCATCTAGCACAATCAGGCCCTGATCTTAAGTGGGATCTGTGCGATACAAGCTGAACATGTAACCTGTAACATGACATAGTGAACTGCTTCATATGTGCGTATTATAAAATAATCCATAGATAATTAAAATCTTATTTACTGTCAAAAGTATTTTAAAGGGGGTCTTAAAAAGCTTCTTATGCTGCAAGGTGAAACACAGAGCTCATGGCAATATAAACTTGATTATAGGATAAATAATTGAGCATGCCAGATGATGTTCCAAGCACAGAGCTTACAGCTGGCATATTCCTAACACACAATTAAGTCCACATCAAGAATGCTATATGGCAATATTAAGGAAAGACCTTATCAAACAAGCAGGAGTAGAGAAAGAGAAAAAGATGCTCCCAAAGGATTTAGTGTCTGACTAGATATAAAGCTTACAAAAGATTTCTAGGTAAAAAAGTTAGACACAAACACAGACTTATTGTCAAGAACTCCACATTCATTTGTCGATACCTTAAATTGAAGAGGGGAAATTAAGTTACAGCCCTTTAAGAGGTGGGGAAAGTTACCTTTACCATTATGCTGCTGAATCTAATTTAAGTAAGCAAAGCTACTTCAGGGGTAAATTACTGCAGTGTAACAGGACACACTGCTTACAGTTTGGCTTCCTTTGCCACAAGCTAGGACAAGCCATATTAAACAGATGAGACCAGCTGACATGAGCTCCGTCCTCCCTCCCTTTACATGATATAAATTAATTGTTCATGTGTATGCCCTTTACATCTCTAAAGTTATTTGTTAAAATAATATGCAGCAGAAATTCAACTAGGAGCAAAGGCTAAATAAAAAACTTACCGTATGCTGGACTGTGAGCACTGAATCTTTCAATTGCAACATTTTTTAAGAAAGTAAATTCCCCAAACCAGTATCACTTGTCAGTTAAGTGGAAATATCAGGTTAACTTAGCAAATAGAGCTTTGAAGGATGGAAACTATGACTGAGAGACAGTACATTTATGGTTACAAAAAAACATCACTCAGTAGTTAGTGATGCTTGTGTGGTATACACCTATAGTACAAAATGAGCAGGCAAAGCTTGAAGTGGAGTAGTTTAAGGAGAGAATGGGAAGACAAAAGCTAGTACCCAGAGCCTCACTCCTTTGATGAGAAGCTCAAGGTGAGCATTCAAGTACACATAGCGGTATATGAACTGTAGGCCATTTTAAATAACTATATAGGGCAAGCATTTTTTAAAAAATAAGCCCTGTAGGAACTGAAGAAACTTAAGGTCCTAGGGGTAACTTCAAGCAAAGCTTTCTGTCCAGGTAAAAGTCCTCTGCTTAAGCTCTGTGGAGAGGCTACACTTCTTGAGGCTTAAGAACTGGGTTATGCCTATATTGTGCCCCCAAAGAAGGAATAAAATAATTAAGGCATAAAACTTCTGCCTAAGCCCAGCTTCTAGGGTAGACCGATTTTGAGAACTGTGGCAAGCTTTATAGTTCGTTATCCTTAATCCATTATTAAAATTTTAGCCAATCAAATCTCTCCCAGTGACAGATGACACTTATGATAGGCAGTCCCATCACAGTTAAACTGGCAGGCATGAACAAGTCTTTGCAGGATCAGATGTAAAGGATATACATTAAAAAACAAAACAACACCACCATACTGATCGTGTTTTCTAGAAGACGAACTACTCCAGCTTTCACACCATGCGGTAGTAATGAAACCAATTTGACTTGGTAACTTTAAACTGTAAGAACAGCTTTCAAATAACTACAAAAACTGAATAAGATCCCAAATCTAATACACCTATCATTTCAAGATGCAGAAAGAATTTTGATCAATGGAAAACAAGAACAGAAAGTGATCAGTGGAAAACAAAAATTCTACAAGTTTGTTTGTTTTTTTAAATAAAAATCTTACCTTCTTGTGAGCTTTGAAGTTAATTTACTAAATAGATTAGTGGAGCCCCTGGTTCGAGTCTGTGAAAGTGGTGTTGCTTCATGTGATAGACTGGGCGAGGCAGGTGGTCCATTATAAGTAGCAGTGCGTCGTTCTCTGAGCTGGCCATGGAAAGTGCTTCGACTGGCAGTTCCTCTGGGGAAACGAATGCGATCAGGTGTAGTTGCGCTGCTGATGCTGTGAGTTGAAGCAACTGGAGTTCTTTGATCAGGAATAGTGCTACAGTGGAAAACAAGAACATACTATTATAGTTCCAAACCATCATTTACAGAAACCCAAAGCTTTGTAAGGAATGAGATGCTGTAAATTCTATAGTACTTTTTAATTAAAGACATATTTATATAGGCCAAAATAGAAAACCAAAATTACAGCACATTACAAAAATAAAATATTTTACAAAAAGTTTAAGAGTAAAAAGACTGCTTAAAACAGAAACCGGTGCATGTAGAAAAAATATTAACATTGAGCAAACTAGTGGAAACCTGGAAGAAATTTTGCAAGCAGATTTTCACTGACAAGGCTGACAGCAAGAATGGATAAAGCAAAAGCTTCCTTGTAGGCAGGGGAAAAAAGCCACCCAATTATCTCCTGCATTATCCCTGTGCCTGTGAAGAAGCTCATTACATTTGAACATTTTGTAAAATCTCTATATAAAAGGTAGTCTACTAAAAAAAAACGGATATCCCCAAGCATATATAACAACTAGAACAGACTCTCTTCCCCTCCTCAAAGGTTTGATAACAGAGGGATTTATCATATTTCTAACAGTAAGAAAAAGTTATTTTAATATGGCAGGAATATATATCACAGACAACCTGGAGACACCACAAGACAAGTGTGAACAAAACTAAAAAAACATGGGAAAACACCCTGTAGGCAATATATACTAACAGTCTAGGACTAAAATTCCACAGCACAAAGTTAAGAAGCAGTGGGTACAAGTTAGTTTCACAATGATTTTTGTTTCTTACGCAGGCCTGAAGTTATCTGCGCCATTGTCTATTGGAGGTAACATCATCTTCGTGTGCACAGAGGCTGACATGGACATCGACTTCTGATGTCGCAGCCGAATACTGGAGAAGGCTGTGGTACAAACTGAAGCAGGGCTAGCTGCATAAGCGAACATTTCTGTCAGGCTGTGAGGGGGTTTGGGTTCAGGCAGAGGCAGAAAGAACAGCATGGACCAATGACAAAATGCAAACTATTGCAAGGTGAAAAGCAAACACTTTTCCTTCCAAAAAATATCTGATGTGTCAAAGAATATAAGCTTTTCCACTGCTTACATAGGAAATACAGCGCCTAGGTAGCTTAACTTCTTCAAAACTGCCTTTACTGTGGCTTATTGCCATTTACCATCTGCAAAGTGGCTATTTAGGTGTCGTGATAGCATTAGCTTGTGGGCCCATCCTCTTGACTGTGCACACATACAGGAAATTTGGGTCCTATATAGAAATACTTTTTAAATATTAACATTGGGCATATTTTGCTAATGATAATAACCTCCTAGTTACACAGCAAAGTTGCTGCTATAAAGTATTCATATTCTGAAAGAAGGAAAAAAAAAAAAAAAAAAAAAAAAAAAAAAATCACTCCTTAAATGAACCTCAACCTTTATAACAGGTTGAGGACCTCACAGACGTGGCAGGCTTTGAAGGTTTAGATGTTTAACTAGCCTGGAGTAGCACACTAATTACAAATTAACAGATTATCCTAATGATCAATTTGTATTGCTACAGAGGCTGGAGTGGTGTACAGATAAAAGAAAGGCTGAAGACTGCTGGAAAAGCAGCTCAATTATCGCTACAGAAAAACGGAGGGGACTGTTGAAGCATCTCTTGTATTGCCTGACAGTGATTCCCCAGGTTAACGCTCCTGCTCTGAAGGAAGGTGTAGTGAGTCGTCTTAAGCAAAAAGGATATCTGGCTGGCTGACACGTGGTCCTTTACAGGTTATACTTAGGATTAAAAAAAAAAAATATATATATATATATAAAATTTACGTCTAAGTAGTTAACACTTGGAGCCTACTGGAGTTCTAAACCTGATGTTCTGCATCAAGAGTATTACACATTATGCTCAGGAAACTTTTGTGACTACAGATATTGGAGACCCAAGATCTGATGTTTGCCATTCAAGTAAGTCCGAAATCCACAACGGCAAGGGATGTTGGTTCAAGTCAGTATCAGATAGCTACTTGCTGTCGGCACTGATTATTCTTTAGAATGCTTTGAAAAAAGTTTCAGAGCCAAAAATGTCAAACATGACATTAACGGAATTGTTTTTCAAAATAGTGTCATTAAGAAACCAAACAAAAAGCAAACCATACCTAGCAAATCTGATGCATTATTCTATCCAATCTGATGCGTTATTCTGTATTTGTTTCCCCAGATAAGCAAGTAACTACTCATAATCACTTGTGAATGTTTTTGTATTTCTCTGTAACAAGAAGTGCAACCTTTTGTCTTGCATTAAAAGGCAATATGAGCAAATTAAGAAACTGCAATTGGATGAACAGAAAGCAAATCAACACCTGAAGGCATAAATAAACCTAAAAAAACCCCCATCTGCTAAAGTTTCAAACTTCTGTGGCTTGAATTTTTCCCTGTTCGTTACACAAGAAGTTGTAATAGTTTTCTTTTTTAAAGAATCATTTTGGTTCTAAGTTCTGCCTACTTCTAGAGGCACTGAGACTTCTGTGGAAGTTGGGTCATATATCTGCTGCAAAACAGATCCTTAGCATTTGAACTTTTCCCTAACCAGACTCTTCTCTACCCCATCTTCCTTGCGTTACCTTTCCAGGGGCACAGCCATGCTTGGGTGAAGTGCATCTAATGCGCACACATTAATAAAACTAAGAATAAAAGAGATGCCCACACTAGGTCACACCAGATGCCCATCTAGTGCAACATTTTAGATTTCACTCTACCACAGAGCAGAGGGTAAGGAGATATCCAAATCTGAGCCTGCTTTATTAACAATGGAAATGATCAGCTCTGATGTCAGATCTTTGGTCATTCTGGTTTCAACAAAAGTTAGGGCCCACCCAAAATTTCCATTTCTACTTACAGCAGTGTACCCTGTCATTGTGTTACTAGGATTACTCTCTTGATCTTTAAAAAGCCTGCTGCACATTTCACAGCAATGAAGAAATACTCTAAACAATGTGGGTTTGCAACGGTTTTTTTTTTTTTTTTTTAAAGAAAGAGTTACCACTCTTTACTACCACTCTGTTACTATGCAAACCTATACCAAAAATATATATATATATATATATATATATATATATATACACACTTCTGTACCTTATATGCCAGCTCCATAAAACATGTCCCCAGAAAGAAAAAAAACCTGTAAAGCAAGCTGGGATGTCATGCAGGATCGGAGACAAGAGTGGCTCTTTGGAAAGGAACTGCATTTGGGACTTATACTAATTGATCATTTTCACTTACAATGTGAGGTAAAGGCTCTGTCTGATATGTTTAGGGATCCTAGTTGTGTCAGAGCTCAGCATGTAAAAAAGTACCTGAGTGTGGAATATAGAGTACATAGGGATAAACGTCTACATTAAATAAAAATCTAATTCTAACGAAACCCTGGAAATACAAGTGAAAACGTGGGTTGTAGTTCAGACTGCTTCATTCAGAGTAAGACACTCCAGGTTTCCTGTGTTCTTTTGCTGACTTGAAAAATAAACAGCAGCACTAGAATGACTAAATGAGCTTTAAAAAAAAAAAAAAAAAAAAAAAAAAAAAAAAAAAAAAAAAAAAAAAAAACACGTTTACCCTAAAAGGTTTATTAATACCATACCTACTTGAGTCAGAAAAGTCAATGCCCATGTATAACAACTGAGTATACACAGATCATACTCTTTAGACCTAGGCAGTAACAGGCTCTGCCAAGCTAATATACAGTAAAATCCATGTTAACCCGCATTTTACTAACCAGAATACTCTATTAACTGGAATTCCCAATATCCCCCAATACAAATCCTCGCTTTAGCAACCAGTCTTTGCCAACTCTATCTGGCATGCGCATCAAGTATTTATGCTGTTTACAGAAAAGGAGGGGAAAGGGATCTGCATGGGGCAGGCTGGGCTGCTCTTGTGGGCTGGGGCCAGGGCAGCGCCAGGCTCTTCCTGGCGGGGGAGGCCGTGCTGTGCTCCTGACTTCCTTGATAGGTATAATTCTGAGATAACCAGAATTTTTAGATAACCAGCACACCCCTTACCTCACTCATGCTGGATAACAAAGCTTTTACTGTACTTTGCTGAATGCATAGTTTAATTAAGTTCCATGCATCACTAAGCATTGGTATTTTTAATGAACATTGATTATTTTTACTAATTACCAAGGTACTTGCATTTATGAAAGCTCATAATTAAATTATACCAAGCATTTCCTTCACAAAAGTGAGTCCAAATCTTTTAAGCAAAAGTTAAATGTGTAGTAAAATGGATGTGAATTTTTTTTATACCAAGTAGAGATGAAAAAACATGTTCAGCAAGTTTAAAGATTGGAATAAATTAAATTCAGTGTCGGTACCTTCATTCCACTAACACCTGTAGGAAGTAGGACTGTTCAGTACTTCTGAAAGTGAAGTTACAGAAAACAGTGACCATGAAAGCCAACTGGCCAATAAATTGGTTTTTTTATTGCTATATATTTTAAAAGCACTGAATTTGGACTCCTAAATAAAACATGACTAACAAGTCTCCTGAAGTACAGGATCATACAATGAAAAGAAAGACCAGAAGACAAAAACCCAATCAGTTATTAGCAATATAGAATGCAGTTGCTCCTAGAAGGCCAGTGAGGATAGATGGGACTGGAATGTCAAATGTCAAGAATAAAGTGCAGCGACCCCAGTGAGGGGTGGCCAGCCCAGGCTGAGGCGGCAGAGGCCTGGGCAGCCCTCCACAAGGCCATGTCAACTCGGAGGTCTGGAAGAGGACCAATCCGGCGGGCCAGGCTGGGCAACAGTTCCAGGATGAGGCAAAGCTGCCTTTAATTTACAGACTGAATGAAGAAAAAAATTGTAACCAACTAATTGAGCAAATGAATACTCTGTTTGAAACTGTTCCCCTACTGGAACAATTTCAGTTGTGTGCAGCCTCGTCTTCAAAAATAAGATTTAAAGAAAAAATGTCAGGGTATCCTAATTTAAAGGAAAGGGATGGGGAAAAACAACTTTATTCAAAGACTGGATAACTTTAATGAGGACTAATCAATGAAGGATGAGACACAAAAACACTAAAAACCTCAAGAGACATCACTATTAAACAGAGATGTAATTCAGAGTCTAGTCAAGTACAGGTCCCACTTGATTAGACTGAAGGTTCAGATATGACTTAATTCATTATATCTGATTCTTTTCCCAATCTCTTCTCAGTTTACTAAAGGGCTAATGGAAGGAAAGGGAACACAGGTCTGATTCCTTATTCCATTGCTCCAGTGGTTAAGTAGAGGGTCATGTTGATCCTTCATTCAACAGTAGGACTCTCATCCCTCCTCCTCTACAAGCCGGAGAAGAATTAAAAGAGAAGACAAAACTTGCCACCCCCTCTGAAGTCAAATCCACTCAGCAGCTCCACTATAAGGCTGGATAGGAGGCATCCTTATTTCGGGTTTAATCAAAGACCCCAAAGAGAGAGAACAATGGAAAGAAAATGATGTAAAGGGGGAAAAAAAAAAAGTAATCCCAGAATGATTAAGCAATGATTTGTAGCAGCAGTTATTTGGGTGTCTTCCAGAAAGCAGGCAAAATAGCTAGCACAATCTATTTGATTGGCAATCCCAAACCCTCTCCATTTGAACTCCTCTTGAAGCTTGGCTTTTACCCAATCTAAACAGGTCCCTGTTTGCATGTGAAATGCCATACTCTTGCTTAAAGATAAGTGTTGCTTTTTTGGCAATCCCATTTGTTTAACAATTTGACAATCCTGCTATGCTCCTTTTCAGTAGCAGCAATCTAATTCACTGGGTAGGTTTTATATGAAACTGGTTGTGGTTATAACTCACTTCAATTCCAGGACAAAGAAACAGTTAACTCCCCACCTATCAGGGATGAGTAAAAGCCTGGACAAGACTGTGAAGGGAGGCTTAAAATGGATTCTTGACTAATAATCTAAACAGTAAGGAATTCTCCACAAGGTATTCCCCACAGGTCCTATTTGATAAACTACCTCTCTAGTTCTGGGGTTACTCCCAGATGCATGGATTTTTGTCTGACTTGTATCACTGGCACAGAGGTAGAAGGATTATCTTGTGCTTTGGGTGTTAACTTTAGTCTTGAGAGAGCCATGTTCAATTTCCTGCTCCACTCTCTACATGACCTTGGGAAAGTCATAAATCCTCTGCACCTCATTTCCCCATCTGCAAAATATAGATACAATACTTCACTATCTCAGAGGGTAAATATATTAAAAGACTGTGAAGCGATTAGCACTATAGGAGAAAGGATAATGGTGTACCTGGGCCTGCAAGCCCAACAGAACAGGGCACAGGCCTAGCCTGTACATGGACAGACAAGAAAGGTTTTTGGGGGGTTTGTGTTTTTTTTCTTTTAAATGGTGCTTCAGTATCACAGTGCAGACTGCCAACTGGGGGGTGGGGGTGTGTGTGTGTGTGTGTGTGTGTGTGTGTGTGTGTGCGTGTGTGCATGTGCATGCATAGAGAGCATCTTAGTCTTCACGTAGGTTTGTACTGGAGGCTGAACAAAAACCCCTCATGGCTTCTCTCTGCTCTTCAACAAACGAAAAAAAGCTCTTGCCAAAAGGGAACCTTCCTTGCCTTGTTCAAGCATCCAGAGGAACGGATGACAGAAGTTTCACCTCACCTACAACAGCTATCAAACTTTGGAACTCAGTTCACAGCTCATATGTTAAAGCCTAGAAATTCTGGGAATCTAACCAAAAGGCTTCCAGTCCACATCATAGAAATAAGTATTTGCAAGTATCCAGGAACTGAGAATTTGTACTTACCTTGGGTAAAAAGGCACAATGATACTGCTTTGCTTTGAATGATGTAACATTTTTCTGAAACATGGAAAACAAGGAAGGTAGTAAAATTTCATACCTGTTCTCCTTGCCATTTTGGATTACTGAATGTCTATCAGCAGTGGTTCTTTCGCTACAAACATACGTATTACGCCGTGTCATTGCTCCAGGTGCAGTATTATTCTACAAAAGGAAGATATGGGGTATGTTAATTTTCACAAGAAGTTAAAAACTTTTGACAAAAATTAATCTGTTGTTGAAGACCTCATTTCACTTACTTCTACTTAAGACGACTTGGTCTACGGCTTGCAATAAAAAAAATATACATTTTCTTTCAAATTAGACAAAAACAGAAGTGCTCTTCAATTGGGCTTGCGCTAGTCTATAAATCTCAGTGTGAACAATGTTTGAAGTACAAAATTACATTTTGTTTTAAGTTGCAAATTAATAGAGCTTAAAAGCTTCTTAAATTTTAATTACAAGCGCTCTCAACTAGACGTGAACACAAATGAGAATTTTGTAAAAGCTTATCTAGATGTTTTAAACTTCCTCGACAATTTCAGAAACATTAAGATTTATAGTATGAAGATTTTCTCTTTTAAATCGTTTGAGTTACTCCTTAATGTGATAACATAATTGAGAGGAAAAACTTAATTATATCTAAATCCAGTAGTGGAGTAAACCACATTTTGATATTAGATGCTATGAAAGAGACTAAAGTTTTAAAAACAAGAAAGGATAAATATGGCAAATCCTGGAAAAAATAATTGCAAGGCATTTTTAAAATATATTTGTAGGCCCAAACATGTAAGTGAAGCACAAAAGAATAATGGGACCACTTAAATAACATCAAACCCTTATGATAGGAAGAGGTAAAGAAATAGGGTTACTTGTTTTACCTCTGTCTATACAAAGAAAGAGCAGAGATGTGCCCAAATCAGTGTATATAAAGCAAAAAAGCAGCCACTGACAAACATAGCAGTCAATTAAAAGCCTTTGCTAGCTGACCTACAGAAATGTCTCTGCTGTCTTTACAGACAAAATTCCCTTAGGCTTTAGTTCAGAGTTAGGGTTTCAAGTGCCCCACCATTCCAAGGCTGCAGAATCTGCCACAGAACCCAACATTTAATTTAGAAGAGTGTACCAGAATTCTAGTTCTCATTTCAACATGGATTTCTAGGCATACTGTTGTAAACTTCAAAATCTGAAAGTGGGTACAGGCTATACAGATGTCTTCTGCCTTGGTCTGCTGTCACCCTGACAAACCGCTCCAGATCTGTCACCATTTATCTATAGAGGAAAAGTAACTTCTAAGTTTTAAAATTTAATATTGCTTTAAATTACTTAAGCCCAAATCCAGCTCCATGTTTATGGATAGGAGAGGACCAGGGGTAATGGCAAGATAGGCAATACTCAAACATCCTCTCAGCCATAAGCTAGCAAGAAGGATTACCCAAGCCAAGTCTTCCTTCACTTTGCAGAGTATCCTTGGGACCAGAGGAAAAGGAGTACAGCAGATCTTTTGACCAAAAGATCAAGAACAATGCCAGGGGAAATACTCTCCTTGGGGAGTGTATTTTGCACAACCAGGCTTGCAAAGCTCTGCAATGAAGTCTGGAAGATGACATCACAAAGGTGCAGGAAGCAGAGTGGCCAACTTCAGCAAGACAAGTCCTTATTCTTCTGGGCAAGCCATTTCAGCTCATGGAGGTGCTTCTTCTATCTATGAAGAAAGTGTTCCTGAAGGTAAGCCCTTGCTAACTCTGAGCCTAAGCTTAGCCCTTCATATTAAGGTCAAGAATAATTTTTCTTTGGGTCCGAGGGACAACCTCCAGAGCAAACAAGATACATTATTGTGTTGAAAAATCTCCAATGCATGCTCTGCAGAAGCTACTTCTGTAAGTCAATTATTTGGACAGGAGAACACAGATTCCAAGTCTTCATAACTGAGCTGCTACCACTGAAAATACCTTGGTAATAAGCCTTTGGGGTGCATGGGGAGGCTAAACAGGAGGACTCTACCAATCATAATTCTATCCCACTCCAAACCATATGTAGCATCTGTGTGAGGATCTTGGTAACGTAGAAATAGGTGTTCAGTACGATGAGGGATACCCATCCCCATGGTGTAGAAATGGTTGCCAGTGTTGTAGCCAGTGTCACAGTGAACTTAAGCCCAAAGATGAATCAATTAAGCTTCCTAGTCCAGGATAGTCCTCCTTTGCTCCTCAGAACCAAGAAAAGATGGTTGTAAACCCCGCTTTCACCTTGAAACGTGAGCATAGTTTATTACTTTCAACACCAACAAGGAGTTGCCCATCACAAAGGGCATACCATTTTAAAAAACAAGAAACAGGTGATTAGACAAATGGGGGAGGCACAGGGAAACAACAACATAATAATTGGCATGACTGAATTTGCTGATCACAGCCTAAGGGGTAAGAGGCTGAAGTCATGAGGCCTAGATATTAATTCTTGGGTGGGATTTTGATTGAGCAGCACTATTAGGAATTCAAGTTTCAGAAATCTTTCTTCTGGAAGAAAAAAAAAAAAGACTACTCTCTCAAGAACTGGAATGGCTCTTATACACGTAACTTGAATGGGTAGCAAGAGATTTTTCTCTATTATTTTATCACAAGTCCTAAAATCTTGAAGAAGGAACGCATAAAGTATGGCAAGTCTACAGGGTGATTTATAATTTGCCAGCATTTGTCAGATAGGCTTGTAATGATGCTTTTGTCAGTCTATCATCTCAATGAAGGGATGAAAAATATTCTCACTCATCTTAAATAAGCTAGCATAACAAAGAGTGTATTTTTAAACACTGATAGAAGTAAATTATGTACGTTTTAGGTAGAGCTGAGGAACAATCTGGCACAAAGACAGGTGTGACAGTTGTTTGTGTGAATAGGCGCACATGAAATTCTCCGATGAAGGTAGCTGAGTTTCCATCGATATAATTCTTACCGAAGCCTTTTTTCTGCCTGCGATATCAAAATGTCTGGAGTAGAAACCTTGACCTTTGAATTCCTCTGGCATCTCTTTTTTGGTTCCTACTTCTAACAGGACCTTTTGACCTTAACTGCTTGTGAGCAATTTTTCTGAATACAGACGGAAGAGGGGTTTGAACAGAGGAAGGAAATTTAAGCATCTTTTATCTCCAGGATCCATCTGTCTAAGGTGATGGAATGCTACATGATATAATGGGAAAGTGTGAAGCTGTCCTTTAAAAGGGTTCTTCCCCTGCTCTGGCCCTGAAGGAGGCTGGTAGGATTGACAGTGATGGCTTTGTGAATAAGATGAAAGAGAATATAACTAACTATTTTTAAGACCTAAGGACAGGTCTTAGGATTGGGTGTTTACTAACCAATAAAAATAAAGCCTTCATTTGCTTTACTGTATCTTGACTAACCCAGTGCCTCCAGATGCCAGGTGTTCTATATACTCAATTTGCCCATGTGAGGAAAGTAAAAAATTGAGCCTGCCTGTGAAACATGTAATAGTTGCTGCAATGACCTGTGCAGTGAAGATGGATGCTTCTGAAGCTTCAAACTTTAGGCCTGGCTACTGTATCATCCCTAGTTTTGCTCTTCACAAAGTCCTTTGGAACACCTAGCTATATTCTCCCATAAAGTCCATCAACAATGCAAAAAGCACAGCCTGGTAAATTTGCCATTCTGAAATCAAGTGGTGAAAATGAAAATGCCTATCTGCTTGAGTTCATCTTCTTTCCCTCCCTGCCAGCAACTGGGAAGTGTTATGGTCTGTCTAAAAAAACAGTGTCACCACCACCAGAAAATCAGGGCCCAAAAGCTTTGATTTCCAGAAATTTTGTCTTGGATGATAATGTAAAACTCAGGTATAAGTTGACAGGATGCCATATGTAAAGAAACTTACATTGTCCCAATGTCAATGATAACTGGCAGGATTTTACTTCTGTATTAAGAATTCACCATATTAGGAATTTAGACTAAAAAGTTTTAGTAACTTTGCATTAATGAAGACTGATTATGAGAATTGTTTACCAAACAATTATAGAAGCAGTAATCAAGCAAGCTACTCTGAAAACAGAGCAAAAAGGTAGATAATATGCTGAAGGGATTAAAACCCAACTACTTAGTGATTTACCAGTTAAGAATCTAGAAGTTACTGTGGGAGTGTTCTGGGGGAGTTACAGAAGTTACTGGGGGACAGTTGAAACGAATCTTCCCATTTTGCATTAAGCAAAATGCAACAGCTAATTTTAAGATTCATAAGTCCCAAAATAAGGCAGTGTGCTTTTAAGCAAAAACTATGCTTATGCCAGTATTTGTCCAAGTACAAAGCTTTTAAAACTACAGCAAATTGGTAGATGTTAATTAGTGGGGAAATGTGTATGATCTAGCACAACTCATACATTTTTTAAACACACATTAATGAATGCCCAATGGAAAGGATAGATTTTTTAAAAATTTATTAATAGAAGCTGGCAACACCAAGACCAGCGAACAGGAATTTGAGTCGAGAGTTTATGTGGACACTTTCTTTCTTACCCTTCCTCCACTAAGTGCGATGAGTGGAAGCAGGTAAAAAAAAGAGGAAATTTTTCAGGAAGCACCATCAGAAGAGGAAGGAGCTAGGAGGAAAAAAAACTCCACCAAGATGGCTGGAAGACACTGCAATGACAAAGCCTCTGCCACAGTCAACTCTGCCTGTGTGGGCTACTGATCAGAGGCTTCCATCCAGGTTCTGGTCTGGTTTTGCAGGGACTACAGCCTGCATGTTCCAATCTATCTTGCCTTCTAGTTGATGTCAGACTAACATGGTTAACTAATTCTCTGCCAGAGACAGCCAGATGGGAGAATGCTTGTGGTCTGAGAGGTGTCTTCTGGAGGAGTCTCAGGAATCACTATGGGAGCTGCAGAAGCTTGTGGATTGGCCTAGAAGCATCTGAGAGCATGAAGCCTTCACTGACTCAATTCACAGACTGACCTCCCACATCCGGGGCTCTCAATATGACAGAAGAATGGGAAGTGAAACAGGAGACCAGCCTGGCTAGAAAATAATTTTTTCAGTGAGTTGAAACTCAAAAAGGAATCCTAAAAAAAAAAACGAAAACCCCCAACCCCCCCCATAAAAAACAAAAAAACCAAACCCAAAACAAAACACCACAGTAGAAACCTGGACATATTACTAGGGAAGAGTACAAGAGAAGTGTACAGGAATGCTGGTAGAAAACTGGGGAGGCCAAGGCATGATTTGAGACGCAACTGGCAAGGGACATAAAGTGCAATAAAATGGGATTCTACAAGTGTGTCAAAAGCAGAAGGAAGACCAAAGAAACCACAGACCCCTTATGGAATACTGAAGGCAAACTAGTTACAGATGATGCAGAGAAGCCTGAGAAGGCCTTTATTATTTCACTGGTAGGGGCAGCTACCAGATGAAGCATGTGACTGGCAGCAAAGATACGGAAGGAGACGAACAGCCTAAAGTAGTGGCAGAACCGGTAAGGGATTACCTTAGGAAAGCCAGTTTTCAACTTGGCAGGGCCACGTGGGATGCACCCTAGGGTACTGAAAGAACTGACTGAGAAAGAGGATAGCCAATAGCTCCAAAACTGACAACTCTGGAAGTTTGAATAAGGTCCTGGGTGACTGGAAAGGCAAATATAGTGTTCATCTTTAAGAAAGGGAAGAAGAAAGATCTGGGAAATTACAGACCAGTAAACCTGACCACAATACCTGGAAAGATCGTGGAGCAGGTCCTCGAGGAATCTAATAAGAAGCACCTAAAGAAGGTGATCAGGTACAGTCAGCATGGATTCACCAAGAGCAAGCCATTCCTGACCAACCCGATTGCTTTCTCTGATAGTGACAGGCACTATGGATGGAAGGAGAGTAGTGGATGTGATACACCTTGACTTTAGCAAGGCTTTGGATACAGTCTCCCACAACGTTCTCATTAACAAGCTAAGGAAATGCAGATTAGATGAAAGTATTGTAAGGTATATACATAACTGGTTGGATCATCGTGCTCAACGAGTAGTCATCCATGTCTCAATGTCTAGCTGGGAGGAGGTATCAAGTGGGGATCCCCAGGGGTCTGTCCTGGGTCCAGTATTGTTTAATATCTTCATTAATGATTTGGACGATGGGATCAAGTGCACGCTTGGCAAATTTGCGGATGACACCAAGTTGGGCGGAGTTGCAGACACTCTGGAGGGCAGGGCTAGGATCCAGAATAACCTGGATAGACTGGAAAAATGGTCCACAATCAACCAGATGAAATTCAAGTAGGACAAGTGCCAAGTCCTGTATTAGGGATAAAATAACTACATGTACAAATACAGACTGGGGAATAACTGGCTAAGCTGCAATGTCACAGAAAAGGACATAGGGCTTACAGTTGACCCAAAAGTTGAATTCGTATTAACAGGCATTTCACTTGCATATCAAGCAAAGTGCGATTCTTCTGCTCTGTTCAGCATTGGTGAGTCATCACCTGAAGTACTGTGTCCTGTTTTGGGCCCCACATTTCAAGAAGGATGTGGACAGATGGGAAAGATTTAGTGCAGCAAAAGTGATTAGGGACCTGGGAGGCAAGACCAATCAGGAAAGGCTGAAAGAAGTATGGTTATTTAGTCTGGGGAAGAGAAAACTGAAGGGGAAGAGAAAACTGAAGGGGAATTTGGTAAGTCTTCAAATAACTTAAGGGTGATTACAAAGAGGAAGGAAATGGGCTTCTCTCTGTGACCGTAGGGGGCAGGTCCCAAGAGCAAGCACTGCTCCCCTACTGCCAAATTTCCAAATCCATGGAGAGCCCATGGGCTGGACAGCATGGCCCCGTGCACTAAATCAGGCTGCATCCACCCAGCCATGCATGCAAGGCCCCTATCCTGGTACACATGTGCATGGGGGCAGCCGTGGCTGCACAGGGCCCCATCTGGATGTGTGGGGCCAGGTAGAGGCAGTGCAGGAACCGTTCCAGCCCATGGACTGGCCCTGAACCACTTGTCATGCCCATGGGGTCAAAAGATTGAGCACCACTGATTTATAATTATAAGATGGATAAAAGCAGTGGCAAATTACTTTTCAGAGGATGGTAACAAAATCACCAGTTGCGATTTCAGAATCATGTAGGAATCACAGAAAAGTAAGGCTAGAAGAGACCTCTGGAGGTCATCTAATCTAAACCCCTGCCTGTAGCAGAATCATCCCTATCCAAACCATCCTACACAGATCCAGTTCTAACCTATTTGTAAAACTATACAGGCAACTACACAACCACAAAGCTTAACATGTCACAGGTAAAAGCAGGGGAAAAAATAGTCGCCAGTGTTCTGCTGCTGCAAGGATTGTTAAAAAAATGCTCGACTCATGCAACCTATTCCATGGAACAGACTCCAAATTCCTTTTCTTTCTTTTAAACTGTTTAAGATGCATCTCTAAATCACTGTTTGTCAGGTCATATCTTAAGGGCTATTTCAGAAATGTGAATAATAGGTAAGTGAACTAAGTTACTGGGTAGTTGACTGAAAGAATATAAATGAGTTCATAAGATACCTAAGCTTGTTTTTGGGAATGAAAGGAGAGAAACATTAAAAACCAATACACAGTGACAGGCCACTGGGTGGAATGATTTTTCCCCCCACCTACTCAATGTGCTTTCTGCTCATACGCTTTAAGGAATAAAATGGTTCTACTTACACTGGGGACAGCAGAACTTTTCTTACGTTCAGGAATATCAGCCTTATTTGGATTGCTGGCATTTCCCAGCATGGGGCTAGCTGGAGCAATTCCTCTTCCTCCAATAGCACTGCTGCTAGATTTCCTTGACTGAATTCCTTCTTCTTTGAGGTCACTGTCTGTAGTGCTAGTTTGGCTTCGTTTTGGATATGCCACTACTGGAGGAATGGATGGTCCAGCTAATGGAGAGAAGAAATCTTTTAAAATCTAGATGCTATTAAAGTTTATTTATTACACAAATACGTTAAAAGTCTAAATAATTCAATCCCAGAGGTTAAAACAGGTGTGGGCAAAATACAGCTTGTGGGCCAGCCCATGGCGGGTCCTTCAGTCCTGCCTAGCCCAGGCACTGTCCGGCTCGTGGCACATCCCACCACCCCTGGGCATGCAGTGGGGCTGGGGCACCTCTGTGGCAGGACTCTTTGTAGGCAGCCCAGGTGGTGGCAGCTCTTTCTGGCTGCTGCGGCAGCTGGCCCCCAGACCCATGGAGACGGATGGGGACTCATGTGCACAGCCCCAGCCCTGTCCTGGCCTACAGTCACCACTGGCACTGCAGCTGCCTCCGGCCCACCCAGTGGGGTAACAGAGAGAAGATGCAGAGGAGCCCAGGCAAGGGCTTTGGGACTGCAGCAAGAACAGCCTGACAGCAGCGAAGGAAAGGTAGCTGCTTTTCCCCCCATGCCCAGCAGCAGCTTCTGCCTGGCTCACTGTGGGTGGGTTGGTCCAGAATAGTGGGAGGGTGGGCTGGGGTTGGGGCTGTGTGCATAGGTCCTGGCTGGTCTGGAGCTGGTCCACTCCAGCCAAGGCAAGTCTGGAGTGGGTGTGGGGTGGGCCAGGGCTGTACGCTCAGCTGCTGCTGGGGAGGAGCCGCAGGGTACACAAGCTCTGGGCTGTTCATAGAATCATAGAAGTAGGGTCGGAAGGGACCTTGTAGATCTTCAGGTCCGACCCCCTGCCTGGGCAGGAAGAAAAACTGGGCTCAAATGACCCCAGCCAGGTAGGCATTAAGCCGCTTCTTAAAGACCCCCGGGATAGGAGCCACCACCACTTCCCTTGGAAGTTGGTTCCAGATCCTAGCCGCCCTAACTGTGAAGTAGTTCTTACGGATGTCTAATCTAAACCTACTCTCCAACAACTTGTGGCCGTTATTCCTTGTTATCCCAGGGGGTGCTAGGGGAAACAAGGTCTCCCCCAAACCCTTCTGGTGCCCCCTAGTGAGTTTACAGATGTTCACCAGGTCCCCTGGTGGGGGGCAGGGGGTGCTGACCGGCCTGCGACAGCTCCCCAAAACTGCCTATGTGGCCCATAGACGCAAATAATTGCCTGCCCCTGTGTTAAAAAATTAAGAATCATTACTGCAGATTTGGAGTTGCACAATGTGAAAAGTATTTTAAGGTTCCCACCTTGTTTCACTTCATAGACATTAGGGCTGGAAGGGACCTTATGAAATCATCAAGTCCAGCCCCCTGCCCAAAGGGCAGGAAGTCAGCTGGGGTCAGATGACCCAAGCAAGATATGCATCCAATGCAACTTGAATGTGTTCAGAGTACGTGCCTGCACCACTTCTTGGGGTAGTCTATTCAAGACTCTGGAGATTTGGACGGTAAAGAAGTTTTTCCTTATGTTCAATCTAAAACGGTCTTCCAGGAGTTTGTGGCCATCAGACCTTGTCTTCCCTAGGGAAGCCCTGGTGAACAGATGTTCTCCCAGTTCCTGGTGCACACCCTTGACATACTAATAGGCTGCCACCAAGTCCCCTCTGAGCCTATGCTTCTCCAGGCTGAAGAGTCTCGTGCCTCTCAGCCTCCTCTCATATGGCCTGCTCTCTTGACCTCTGATCATGCGTGTGGCTCTCCTCTGGACACTCTCAAGCTTCTCCACATCTTTTTTAAAGTGTGGAGCCCAGAACTGGATGCAGTACTGCAGCTGCGGCCTCACCAAGGCTGAGTAAAGCGTGAGAATGACATCTTGGGACTTGTTTGAGATGCATCAGTAGATGCAAGCCAGAGTTTTAATTTGCTTTGTCGCACTGGTGGCTCATATTCATCTTGTGGTCAATCATGACCCCTAAGTCTCTTTCAGACGTAGTGCTAGCAAGTGAAGCACTGCCGAGTCTATAGGTATGGTGTGGGTTCTTTTCTCCCAAGGCGGAGTATCTTGCATTTCTCAATATTGAAGGTCATCAGGTTTATATCCGCCCACCTTTAGAGCCTGTTCACGTCGGCCTGAATCCTCAGCCTATCCTCCAGTGTAACCGCACTTCCCCACAGTTTGGTGTTATCTGCAAACTTAGTCAGTCCGCTTCTGACATGCGAATCCAGATCGTTAATGAATATATTAAAGAGTACTGGACTGAGTACTGAACCCTGAGGGACGCCACTGGTCACCATGCACCATATTGACTTGGTTCCATCGATTATCACTCTCTGGATTATCACAGAGCCAGTTTCCCAGCCATCGGACTGTGAAGTTGTCAAGGCCACAGTTCCCCAATTTTGCTGTGAGGACATCGTGGGAGACCAAGTCAAAGGCTTTTTTGAAATTGAAGTAAATGACATCAACCTCTCCCCCACTGTCCAGGTGATGCATCACCTGGTCATAGAAGGAGATGAGAATAAGATGAAAAAAGCCATTTAACCATTTGTTTAAGTGGTTAAAGGTGTGGGAGACAGTTTTAGGTCACACATTTGTGGTCCCACTTAATAGAGGTGGCATTCCAGAATGCCTGAATTGGTGGAATGACACCTGCACACAATTACCATCAGCTTAATTCAGAGCAGCCAGGAAGTGGCTTTGACTTGTGCACTGGGCTCCTGCTGCCATCAGGAATAAAAGGAGGGACAGAAAACTGTTCTAGTTTACCCTCAGACATTAACAGGCTAATGTTTTAATAGACTATCAATTTCTTATTGGCATTAATTCTTTCCTAGGTACTAAACAGGTTTTGGTTCAGAAGAGGTAGTTGGGACAGAAAGAATCAAAACTATTAAGTATTTCAGTTGCTCTCTTCACATAAAGTTAATTGACCTGATTGTTCTTTGTGATGCTTTCCCAAATACAGAATGTAAACAATCCCAGGAGACCTGGCGAGAGGAAAGCAACCTCTTTGCTTATAAACAACTCTTGTATATTCAGGTCAAAAGGAGATTCCTTTTGTGAGATAGTGATTAGGCAAGAAGGTTTATAAAATACTTAGTAAGCAGCAAGTAGCTGTTCTGCATGTTCATTAGGCAGAAAAGTTAAAGTTTGGCTGGAGTCACTGTTACTTTTTAAAATTAGACTTTTGCAGACACTGAAGTTACTGAAAACTCAGGAAATGGGAAACAAGAAGTAGTTCTGGCAAGCTGACAGTTCTCTGGTTTTTAGACGCAAATTGACCTATTAGTGTCAAAAGGAAACAAAAGCTGCATGGACATAAGAAAAGTGAGGGGGAGGGGGTGATGTGCTTTCCTGGGAGAACAAGAGAGCTTGCAAGATGCTGTTTAATGTGTACAACAAAACTTTCTTACAATGGTCATGAAAACAAGAGAAGATACAAGCAGAAACAAGCTACTGCATTTAGTATAATGTTTAGAAGTAGTTCTGATATAGTTATAAGAACACGTGACTAATATAAAACAGTCACTAGATCATTAAATCCCTGGACCACAGGCAATGTGATCTCTCTCCTTATTTAGAAGGTAGAGACAGTACACTAAGAATACATCTTCCCAAAGCAATTACATTGTCACTCTGAAATAGAAATAGATCACCCACCATGATCACTGTACCGTCGCTGTTTTTGGCTGGAAGATATGCTTCTCTGCACTTTGTGGTGAGGAGATTGTCCAGTGCTATTGTTGAGATCACTACTTGGCCTAACTTTAGCGAGTGAAAGATTGCTGCTGGAGCTTGAATCACTAGCATCCAACTACAACAGAAAATTCAAAAAAGGCTTAGTTAAACAGAAAGCATCCTGCAGTGATTCTGAACATAATCTTAAATGAGCAACATTCCAAGAAGTTCTCTTAATGAAGTGATCACAGTAGTGAGACCCACTCCAGTGCCAGAAACTAACAGCTTTCCTGTTAGTTTCTCTCTCAGGTGTTTTAAGGTACAGATACATTCAAAATGCCTACCTATGCTAAGCAGTTCAATTCTGAACACATTTGGAAACTGCTGGTTATAAAAGTTATTTTGCAGAGAAACAAGTATCCTGTGATCCCTTCTAAGGGTAAGGCTGGGGGTAAGACTAGTGTTTCTGAACAAGGCAAGAAAAGCCACATGTGTATCTGCAACTCCTAGGGAGCCTTCCCCCGCAGACACTGTCATTGACATGGACCCCATTCATCCATTTCCCCTCTAGGTTTTCAACAGTGAGTAAAATCACAGGCTGTGGAGTTGAACAGGCTGCTGGTGACAGCATCTGTGGCTTGAGTGACTTCATACTTCAAGTAAGGGAGAGTGAGGCAGCTCCAACAGCTCCTTCAACAGAGGGTCCAGATTTTATCAGGCTAACACTGAGGAAGGAGGTCAGGTCACAGAATACATCTTGAAGAACTACAGTACTACAAGTAGCCTTTTTTTTTTTAATCTTCCCTTTGTGCTCTTTCTTCAGAGACCCCTGAGATTTTATCAAACAAGTAAGATGGATCTTTAGGTGCAGCTATTTCAGCTCCTCAAGCAGTTGGTAGGGCCAAGGATTCCAACATTAAAGGGGGGGGGATACAAGGAGCTCTTTAGTAATAAAGATTTTTAAGCAAAGCTTCCTTTTTCTAAGCTAACTCAAAACAGTATGTGTAAATAACAAGTTCTGTTATGAGCCCCTAAGCTAGATGCAGCAGTCATTAAGAAGCATTACTGCCGGTACAAAGGACAATTCTTCCTACCTGGAGACTTGCGTTCAATTATCACTACTAATTTTGGTATTGAGGTAGACTTTTTTGCTAAATAATCCATTAAAAAATTCTTCCTTGTTGAAAAAGAAAGCAAACTAATAAATTGATATGAATCATTAACTGATACATACTACTTATAGGACAACAGGTAAACCAAACAATTATAGAAACACAGATATTATTGCAAGATCTGACCAGTTAAACAAGGGTGGTAAACAACTGAGGGGCAGGTCGAGTCGCAATGGAATATAGATGGATGTGCAACTGCACTCGAAGCAAGGCCTTCTCCTGCACTGGGAAGGAAGGGACCAGGCATCCATCTGGGGCACGGATGCAGTTCAATGGACACCACTAGCTAAACAAACCTGACTTTCGGTGCACATGGCACACATGCACCAACACTGGAATTTATGTGGAGAATTATCTGAAGAACCAGCTTCACTTTGCTGCCCTGAGGGAGGGTTTTTTCCTCCCTGTATTCAACAGAATACATGTATTTTAGCCTATTTCCATCACTATACTTACCTCTGATGATTTCCTCCCTAACAATAAGTACGTAGCTGTGATTTCATCATACTTCATTTTACTAAGGGATTCTTGAATTTCTTCTTGAGAATATCCCATTCCAACCATAATATCTAAAATAAACAAAACAATTTATAAGTAACAATACACTTCGATAAACTGTTCAAGTACTTCCATGTTCAAAGCAAGTGTCTTTATTTCATTGTTAGGGGCAGACATCTAAATGTCAGAAACTAATCTTAATTAGATACTGACAGTAATAAGATTTAGTTACTGTATTTACTCAAATCCAAGACTACTCTGAATTTAAGACAACTCCATTCCAACAGTTAAGAGTCTAGCCATGGAAAAATAAATGTGTTAATAAATTTTCCTTTGTACAGAATTAATAATTAGAGGGTTGTCTTAAATTCGCCCCCCTACTACTGCAGCAGGGAAAGTAGCAATGGGGGTCAGGCAGGTAGTATATCCCGTCCCTTCACCACTTGTGCACCCAGCACCTGCTGCCTCCCCCCCACTACTTGTCCCCCTATGTCTGCATCCCTGGCACCTTCTCCCCTGCTGTCTGATGCCCCACCCCTGCTGTGCATCCCCTGGCTCCAGCCTGGGGCACGGAGTGTACATTTCCTTTGGCCCCAGCCTGACCACACACCAGCAGCAGCAGCTCTGGTTGGGCTGCAGTGCCAGAGCCAGAGCCTGGGCCAGGCTGGATCTACTGCCACAGCCATTACTGAGATGGGGCTGGGGTCAGAGCAACCCTGTGTTTCATGCTCCATGCCCTAGGCTTGAGCAGAGCCAGAGCCCTGCTGGAGCTGGAGGCTAAGTGGCAACAGTGCTGGGTGGGGGAGTTGAGTGGGAAGAGGGGTAGCTGGGGTAGGGGCAGACTACCAGCAGCCCTGAACCCGAGTCAGGGTCAGAGTTGGAACTGCAGCAGGTGCCTGGCCCCTGACAGCCTTCTACTCAAATCCAAGTCCAGTACCCCCACTCCCTTCCACATTAAAGATGGAGGGAAAAAAACCTTGTCTTGGACTTAAGTAAGTATGGTATGTGTTTCAAACTACCTAAACATTCAAATCTGGTACCAAAACACAAAGTCTAATTATGCAGTGTATCATGAAGTATTTGTTTGACAGCCTACAAATTGAGAACATCCTGGAAAGTACTAGAATACCTATTCTTTTCTGGTCTGAGATATCCAATTCTGGTTCAACAAAAGGTTTAAGCTCATCCTCCTCATGTCCTGCATTGATCCATCTGTCCTTCATAATTTGCTGCAAAGACAGGTTGCTTATTAGAAATAGATATTTAGCAGCAAACAAAACAAGACAAAGGGTTCAAGTTCTACCCATTACAGTCTTTTGGTAACAAAGAGACAACAAATACACCATGACTGAATCAAAAAACTGAGTACCTTTGTTCTTTTCTGATCTTTCCCACTTTCCTTTTCCAGAACCGTCAATTTTGCAACTGGACTGTCTTATTAATTGGTCCCTTCCTCACCTATCTGAGAGGCAGGTTTCTAATCAGATGTATTCCAGCACATAGTTCAAAGCTGAACACCAGTAGTGGAGAGGCTGGTTGCGGTGTGAGCACAAGGAAGAGACTAATAAAAAAAGTTCCATCTGGGCACCTTTACTGCATCTTGTTCATTAATGCTCTTCAGCCACATGACTCCCTAAAAGGCTCCCCATTCTAAGTATTACTCACCTGGAAACTAGCCAGTTCTCCAAAGTTAAAGCATACAATATTGCCAAGGAATACAAAAGTAAAAGGAACAACAGAGAAAATTAAACACTAGTTTAAAAAGTATCACAATTAAGAAAACACAAGTTGAGCAGTTAACCCTTTTCAAATGTTGACCCGTTTGGTGCACCACAGTATTAGACTGTAGTTGGAAAGAGTTTCACAGAAACATCCTCCTGCCTGGCATGGTGCTCAAGGTTTGAGAACTGTAATTAAATAAACTTCCTTTGATTACCCTGTAACTACAGATCTCATCACGCATACTGCATTATTCAACAGCAAATGTCTGCCACAATATAAATCACAAAAGTGCTACCACTGTGCTTTGGTATTGGCTTGTTTTTTTAAAAACAAACTTAAATGACAAAGGACCATATTTTCAAATATGCTTGTTTAAGTGCACATGCCCAAAGCATGCTTGCAAATCCCTGATGCACATGCAATGAGCGTTACATGCATTAAACTACAATTTTACATTATGTATCTGCCCACTTAAATCAGGGGCATACAAAAATACACATGTAAGTTGGCACTCATCCTACAACTGGGTTGGGTTGCATATCCATGGAAGAAACTTCCATCACTGAAATGAGAAACTGACTTGAGGGAGTAAGTTACAACTTCATCATATTCATGCCAAAATTCATGGGGAACGGAATATCCTTACTTAAAAACTAGCACAGGACTACAAACTTACCTAAACTTATTACAGCTACTTATCTAACTGGCAGAAGTGACTGTACAGGAAAACCAATGCTATCTAACCCACCACCCCTTGGTATAGCACTTAACTTTAGTAACATCCCATCAATATCTTGCAACAAGAAGTTTAGTACTGGTGGGTGAAGCAACACGCTATTTTCTAGTCTCCTGCATGACCGTATAAATGCTTACACAAAGCAAGTAGACCAGCCCTCGATAATTACTTTTTAATGAGTCTATGTGCTAAAGTCCGGAAGTGAATGATCCACTAATAGAGGAAATCCAGCAATTTACTGTTGGGAAGAGTTATGCAAGCCATGCAACATAATAAGCAAGTCTTAAACTCAAGCCATTCAGCCTGATTAAGTAAGAAAATTCCAGAGAGTTTAGCTTCCACCTGCTGGGTAAAAAAAGGCAAAGAACCTCAGGGCAGCAAATCCAGCAAGCTGTTTACAAGAAAAATGTTATCCATTGAAGTGCAATACTTGCTACTGAATAAAGGGAACAATTGGCAAAACTTCAAGCTTGCCAAATTCTCTCCAACTAACATTTTATTTGTGCTTACCTCTAGTGTGCCTCTTTTAGTTGGGTTTAGCACCAGGAAACGTTTGAGGAGGTTTTCACAGTCTGTTGACATGTAGAAAGGAATCCTGTATTTTCCTCTTAGTACTCTCTCTCGCAGTTCCTTGGGTAAAAAGGGGGGAGAGCAAGCATTAAGTTATAAAAAAAAAAAAAACAACAGAACAATTCAAAATATTGGGGCTGGACTATATAAGCACTTAGCATTTTTTTTAAATGTACCTTTAGGTTCTGCCCATCAAAAGGAAGAGATCCACTCACAAGTGTATAAAGAATAACACCCAGACTCCAAACATCTACTTCAGGTCCATCATATTTCTTTCCTTGGAAGAGCTCTGGAGCAGCATATGGTGGGCTGCCACAAAATGTGTCCAGTTTATTTCCAACTGTAAACTCATTGCTAAAACCAAAGTCTGCTATTTTAATGTTCATATCTGCATCTAGCAAGAGATTTTCAGCCTAGATAGGAAGGCAAAAAAAATGCAATGAAGTTTGAACTTACGATTTTTTTGTTTAAGAAACGTATTGCTTTTTAAATTCATTTTTAAAGGCCAGCAGAAGCTGATATTCCATTTAACTGAAAGTATTTATATAGCTATACAAGTCAGTCATTCATGCAGACTGCATTTTAAAATCTCAATGCATTACTTTCAAATTTATGATGGCTTTTATCAGTCACATGCAGCTTCCATCCAAGTATTCCATGGAAACATTCTGTATTACTGTAAACCACAAGTTTCCACATGAAAACAAGAATGTCTCAAAATCTACACTAGTATCTGGAACAATAGCTTGTAACACAGAATATATTCGAGGTCTCCATACTCACTTTTAAGAAACTGTTCCATATTTACCATATTTTAACATTTAATACTTGTAAGCAAAGGAAGATATTTTAAAAAATACCTCTCAAGTCTTAAGGGAACATTCTAAAACGACATATATAACTAAAGCCATTGCATATACATTTTGGTAGGGTTTTTTTGGTTTGCTTGTTTGTTTACTATACTCACCTTGAGATCTCTATGAACAATATGCTTTTGGTGGCAGTACTGCACTGCAGATACTATCTGGATAGAAAACAGGCCCAATTATATAAGTGACACCTCAAAGAAACAGATTTGTAATCAGAAATTTCAATATTAGTTGCTAAAATTGACATGTATTTATGCATTCAAAGCCATAAAACCAATACTACAGTGACCACCATATTTAGGATAAAACTGATAAATATTAAATGCAAACTTCTTATTCAACACACTGGCTTCTACTATCTTCTGAAATGTATTGTTGTATCACCACAGCTAATACAGGCTAAGAGGAAGCAATAACTTTTACCAAGGTTGTTTCCACTGTAAAACTGCTCTCCACTTTCTGAAAATTTCACCATTAGACTGAAGTTTTCCAGTCTCTGCCTGAAAGTGATTTTTTTTTTATTTTTTTTTTATATTCAATAGTTGGGGGGAGGGTGGCGGTAGAGATAGTTTGGTGAACAAGAAAAACAGCTTGTGTGCATTATACAGTTAAAAGTTACTGACTGGCAAACCTTCAGGGATCTGCACATTACATTACTTTATTCATCTTAAATTTTATCAGTGTACAGTATAATAACATAAGCTTGAAGGAGACCCGGGCTCAGTGTGCTGCTTTTAGGTCTATTTCTAATCATGTAATTATACAACTACTGTTCTGAAATGGACAACATTTTCTGCACCTTTGGTGGCCCTTGCAAAGTGCCCAGGGAACAATTTAAAGACCAGGGCATTCACACATTAGTAAAACATCACTACTAGTTGCTACACATGCATCTAAGGCTGTAGAAGAAAAGTATGATCTAGTGTATATTTGACACACAGCATAAAACTTGCATATGCACTAGTCAGATTTAAGATTACAGATGAAACTTTTATTCGTATGGTAACTCAGAAGTCAGGAAGCCTTTTTATTTTATAAATATTAGCAAGTTTCATTTTACAAGGAGCTCCAATAATAAAATGTGAGGTACCGTTATACTTTGTAACATGTTATGTTTTCCAACGTAACAGAGGATTCCTCTGTAACAGGGCACCAGCTACTATGCGTTATATCTATTTAATACAAAGTCCACAAAGAATTCTTTGACTGCATGTCAGAGTACACAGTTTTCACTTCTAGACTGTTATATCCGTTCATATATTAAATCTTAAAACAAAACAGTATTCCATTCTGTAATTTAAATAAAAATAAATTGTATGCCCGTATGATAGAATTAATGTGTGCATGTCTGACAACAACCTTGAAGAAAGTCCTATGAAAGGATAAACTTACTACACAGCCCTTGGTGGTTTGTTCTTCCTTCACGTTATTATTCCCTTCTTTATTTGGCTCCCCCCCCACCCTTGCAGCTACTGTTCCTTTTTCTATTATATGTATGTATTGTGAGCATTTTCCTTCCCCTCCTCCATGTATAACCATCCCCCTTGCTCTTCCTTCCATCTTTCCCTCTATAACTCTAGCACCCTGATAAATCGCAGGCAGAGATCCACTAGACTTTTAATCTCCCAACACTACCCCTGGGTCTCCAGGATTATCAGCATGACAAGCATTTCCTGAATATAGTCCAAAATGCAGTCCTATTCAATTTTCAACTTAAAGTAAAAATCACTTCTGCTCCCAAATGGCTAGAGAGAGAATGACAAAGCTGATCAAAAACAAGTGTTTTCCTTTGTCAGCTAGTAAAACGGGTAGCAGACAGGCTGTAACAAGGAGGCAGCAGCTGAGAATAAAAAGGAAAGGGAAAGAAGACAGGAAGAGGAAATGAAAGCAAACCAACAGCATGAAGGAAAAGAAACCAAACTTAGTGAAATACTACAAGGAATGTTTTCACATTAGCCTTCTTTGTTTCCCTTGCTGTTTTCCTTCTTTTCCCTTTAAATATGTAAGTTAGTGTCTTCAGTGAGAAACTTTCTGACACTGAAGTCATCATTAGTAACTCATCTCTTATTTAGTAAATGCTGCACTGAAGGTATGTGGATTTTTTTCCCAGGCCTAAACATGTCATGTAATAACATCTACTCATTGTAAAACAGCACTTAGAGATGATATTAATAAGGGTCCCACTTGTAGTTTCTCCTAGAAGAGATGGGAAGATCAGAGCTAACTGCTAACAAATTCAGCAGGGAGGGGGCATAGGGAAATATCACTTATTTAACTTGCTTTTACTATGCAAACGCAGGAACTTGGTTCCTCATTTCTACATTAATTCTAATTGACCACATATGAGATTGGAGAATTTCCTCTCGAGTCATCAGACGATCAATCCACAAGCCTGTGGTAATGGAATAAGAATCAGATTATCGGAAAAATCCTAAACAGCTTTGGAGTACAAGTTCTTGAAAATGGGTGCACAAAAGAAGGCTGAACCGGACAGCTGCAGAGCATGGCTATAGGTTTTAGTACTTGCATCTTTCCATGTTTTAGTTGTTGAACATGATCGGGTAGGAATAATAAATGAGTATTTACTGCAACATAGTCAGTCACAAACAAGTTATTCCAAAGTGGAAAAAACACTTGAATGGCAACTTAAGTACCAAAACTATAGCTCATATCAGTGTCCATCTGCAAGTGACAATGCCATGATAAAAACAATCTATGATGTTGATTTCTATGGGTTGTTATGCAATGAGGTAGATTTTTAAGTACAGTTATTCATTGGTCTGTTTTAGATAGGTTTTTTTTTTTCGCCGGGGGGGGGGGGGGAGAGAGAGGAGGGAATGACAAGAAAAATCTAGCGTGGAATTTTCACAACCCATAAGCTTCCAGGCAACCTTTTCCTTGTTGGGCTACCACAAATGACACCACAGAACCAATACACTTCCTAATGAAGGATTTAAGATCCATGCTCCAACTGCCCTTCCTGAACAACCTTAACATGGGACAGATGTGCACTGATTCTCTTCAGGCACAACTGTATGTTTGATGGAGAAAAGGCACAGTCTGGAGAGAGGGAGGAGGAGTTATGAACTGAGAAAAAACAAGCCATAGAGGAAGCTAAGCTTAGCATTACAGCTTGGCTAGGATTTCTAGGTCTTGTTTTCCAGCTTTTCTAAAATATAATCATAGTCTCATTGTTAAGCTAGTAAATGGACGGACCAATCCTATATGCTATGAAATGAGAAAGTTCTATAAGCCCCTAGTGTGGAAATACAGAAAGGTAAAAACAAAGGGACTTGGAAAATGGATTTCTGTGTACTTCAGCAAGTTAAAGCTGACTATGTGGCTATCTTCCCAAACTGCATCCAGTTAACTGAATACAGGAACAGTGTGAAGGAAATGCTTAAACTCATCCTGTTAGGACATGTTCAGCCTGGAGGGCAGCTGATTCAAACTCTTTCAGGAAAGTGGAGAAGTTTAAAAACCAAGACTGTGGGAATAATGAGACATAGCACTGAAATGAAGGAACAAAACATGTACATGCTGAGAGAATATTTCCAAAACAGTAAGAGTGATGGGAAGAGGAGACAATGAAGAATTAGATTTGACTGCTGAAGATTTGTTATGGCCATAACAAATCTTCTGATGTATGAGGAAAAAAAAAAAAAATTATTGGATCTGAATAAAAACAACCACCTTTTTGGATTTAGAAATATTGTACAGCCTAACTGCAATAGGAATGTTCCAGAAGCCAAAGAATGATCTTTGAAAAAACCCCCAGGAATGAATAAAGAGCTGAAAGGATTCTCTGAGCTTATGAGTGTGCTTAAGTCATAGAATTGCATCTTCTAGGATATGAAGTCAGGCAGCTTTTGCAAAAAAAGTATAATGCAAAATTTATGAAGCGTGGAGACAAGTGAGAAGGACAGTGCTTTCTGCCACTCTGATATCCATTACATTAACTTAAACTTCTCTTTTGTTTCCTTTCGCAGCAACTGGTCATATTTAAGTGATGTTCTTGTTCATTACACTTCTCTACACAAGCCTGCACAAAACTTCAGAATGAGACAGAATAAATCATTTGTCCCTATGTTTCCACTGCTCCCACAATAGCTTATGATGATGATCCTGAATAAGAATTAATGTGTGTAAATATTTCTGCTTATGTTAGAAAACATATTTCATTCAAAGTTTGGAGACTTTTAAATAGTTTTTTTTTGTGACACATTCGATTTTCCATCAAAATCATGCAAAACCTTTCAGCTACTGTTCCTATTTGTTTTTAAAGAATCAAGTCAGCTCCAGATCCTTTCCTTTTGCATTTTTGCTTGTGAGTGGTATATTTCATTACAAGAAATTATCAGTAAGGACTGGAAAGTAGTCATTTGGGGAATACCAGCAAAATCTACAAATAAAAATGCTGAGTTACTGACTATATTCACTGGGTTTTATGCTGTCAGTTAAAAATGTTAATTTACTGTTTAGCATACTCTGAAATAGCAATAATTAAAACTAACAACATGGATTTTTATCCAAGAGGATAGAAATAAAAACTAAATACATAAATAGCTAAATATATTTCTGCATCATTGAACCAGACAAAGAAAGATAAAGCAGATTTTAGCATTTTCACTGACACAACCAAGTCACCTGATTGCGGGATCTGAACTGTAGACTAACTGTAGACTAAGTACTAGGAGGCTGAGGATTTGATCTGAATTATTTACAGTATTACTCGTTTTTCTTCAACTTCTCATACTACTGGTTTATTGAATGTGTGGACTTTGCATTTCAG